CCCACAGCTGAAAGGGCGAGCATGTTTGGTGTGACGGGGATTCGAACCCGCGACCCGCAGATTTTGAGTCAAGTACCCTAACCACCTGGAGATGCCGGGCCATGTGATCTAATGAAAGTTTTATGGATGAGTAGAAGAGCTGAAAAGGTGTTTGATAGGGAATTGTTAACGTGGACTTTGACAAAAGTAATTCTTGAAAAAACTTGAGAACTATCATAGAAACGTGGATGAAATATTATAATATCTGAGCTTGAATTTAAGTACATTATACCAAACAGAGTCAAAGGCTTTATAATAAATGTTTAGGAAAACAGAGATTATTTGTTGGTTTGAAGTAAAGCACAAAGCTACACAATGGGCTATCTGCCCACCACTGGTATCGAAATCCGGTTTCTAGCGTTGTAAATCCGCAGCATACCGCTGTGCCACTAGGGGGCGGAAAACAAAGAACTGTGCCGTGATTACAAAAAAAAAATCACAAACACGTTTAGGTTAACCTAACCCAACTAATCAGCGGTTTGTCTGTGTATACGGGCTGTGCTTTGAATGTTTGAAATAATGTTATTGTGTTCCAGATGTAATAGCAACCCGGTTGAGATTTCTCAGTTAAGTAAGTTAATGGGGCGAAAGTCGCTGGGACCAGATTATTTGGGTTGTTTTTGGTATGATCTCTACTGTAACAGAAAGGAAAGAGAAGTTAAATAAATGATATAGATCAGTGGTTCTCAACTTAGGCCATATGGCCCCGCAGAGAGCCACACCATGTTTCTAAGGGGCCACACGTGAATAATGGAAAATTAGAAGGTCACAGTAAATTCTGAGTGGGCCACCAAAATTTCACTGCCCGAATAAGATACTTAAAATTGAATCAAAGGTTCTCCACGTATTCCCCACATCTCAGAAGTCAAGTTACCAGACGCGACTAGTACTCTAGTAACAATCAAAATATTTGTCTGGCACCTGTGAATGTTTTCGACTGATTCTAAAGAGCATAAGTAAAGTAAAAGTAAACAGTATGTTACAAACATTTAAAAACAATACAATATTGTAATAGAATATTATAAATATATTATAAATCAACCGTGTGGAAATAAAGTAACTTTTTTCCTAAGTATCAGCGTCTACGAAAGGTGGGGCCACAGAAATAAATCAAACTCAAAAGGGAGCCACGAGCAAAAAAAAGGTTGAGAAACACTGATATAGATGACGGATTTGCTCATTCTCTCTTCGCCAGGGGCTAAATGTTCAGGAGACCAGGTAGAATCAGATAAAGGTTCGAGCTTTTCTTCATCTGTGAATTAGGATACAACAAGGTCGCCACGTGGAACTCGTGTAGCATGCTTCCACGTAGCTAACAATACACTTGAAAGTCTGTGGGTATCAATCACTAACTACGACACAACGCTTTTCACAAAAGTCCATAAGCCATCACTACCTCAGCAAAACTGGTTAAATATTACTAAAGGTTGTATTATACTACAGTTTATATAAGCCACAGAAAGCCTAATTTTTAACAGAAATATGTTATGTTTGATGTGACTTTGATTAACATTGAGGGTACCCAAATGATGAAACCATCTGTTCTAAACTTTACAAGTAGAAACATAAGAAAAGCATATTTAATTAGCTTTACTGATTGCCAGGATGGTCTCCAGTTTCCTTCTATGTGCATAGCTTTCTTTGATCGAAAGTTTATCTTAATACACTAAAGCGATGTAATATTATCTTAAACAATTTCCGAAAGAATTAAAATGTGGAATTGAAATTTTTAAAAAGTGATATTTTGTCAAACTTCGAAACCTATAATCTGTAACAAGAATATTGTTGAACTTTCCACACAATAGAATGAATTTTGTGTTTGAAATGCAATAGGAAAAATGTCTATTGTTAAAAATTCAAGTGAGTTTATGAGCTCTGTCCAGGAAATATTGTAATGTTGAAAATATTATATCGTATCTAATAAGTTGTAAGTAATAAATATTGTAACATAACGTATTTCAAAATGGAAAGTCTATAACTTCAAAGTTGAAATTGTCCGTTTTATTGAAAATTTTGAGCTTTAATGTTTGATTAATGATGCTGATACTTAAATCCAGATCGTATGGCTTGTTCTTAATGAAAAAGTTTATATGTGTGGGTTGAAGTTACCTCCCATTGGAGTTCCTTGTATTTGTTAGAAGACATGTTGACCAAATTGTACAAATGTGTTATCAAGTAAAAAATACATGGCGTTCAAGAATTCATACTTATCAGTGACACTGTCATAAAAACTTCATTCTTTACTAACGCAGAGCATTAATTTATCAGAATTATTAAAATACTTGAAGCTGTTGATGAAAGACCGTTTTAATTGTATCAACGAATTTGTTGTTATGTATTTATTTTAATATGAACGTTGTTTATATTTAGAAATATACAAAGCTTATACTGTTAGATAGGTATTGCAAAACTCCCGCCTATTCTCCAAAGTTGTAGAAGATTCTCGAGAGTAAAAATCAACAATATGTCTATATACATAAACGCTTTAACCAGTACTGTTACGTAAGACTGAATTTTCTAGAAAACCTTCCCACCCCTATAAATACAACCAACGCGACGCGCCAAGAAGGGTGTGTATATTATTAGTTCGCTATATATATCGGTGTGCTATAAAACTTCGAAAGCCATAACTGTGATTGTTATAACGCTTATCAATCGGAAAACTTAAGATATCTGAACAGGAATATTTATAAATTTCGAACGTTACAAATCATTTAACTTCAGTGGATTTTCATCGGACATTAGTAATTTTATGAAGACATATATAAATTCGTCGTGAAAAACCTAGTGTGTGTGTGGCCAAGGACAAAGCTAGCTAGCTTCCCAGCGGATTGTATCTACATCAACTCGTAATTAGCTCGCTCATCGTGAACCCTCGATAAGATATCAAGGAGGTTCCAGACTAAATAGAAGACTTTATATTGTTTGTAAGTTTGTGAAACTTCTGTTTATAAATCATTGTTTGTAATAACTATTTTAATAACTGTTATTGTAAATTGTACTGTTGTGTGTATATTAAAACGTATTTGTGTTAAAAACGAAGACCGTGTGTATCAGTCTTGTTGGCAAATATCGTAAATTGACTAAAATATCGGCATATATTTAAATACTAAATACAAAGTACAATTTAACTACTAAATTTGAATTACCAGTTAACTCAGCTTCAGACTATTCGAAATTCTAATACGTAACTACTGAAATATAAACGTTTCTATTGTTATATAGCTTCAAAGGCTTTAATTTTCTCTATACATTCAATGGAATTACTTTGACAATGAACATATTAATACCGGTTCTCTCTATGATAATATTACAGCATTTATTTAAATGCTCTTTAATGTATTTCCTATTAGAAATGACAAGTTTTTAATTGTATCTTTTTAGCACCGAAAATAAATCTGTATTCCTATGATATTTTATCCAGTTTTGGAATCCAAAATAACTTAGGTATCAAGTTCTAAATTTAAAAGAATGTACTTCCAAATCTGATAAAACTGTAATAAGTTTATACTTTCTCCAATGGTTTTAACATGTTTATACACCTCGTCACCAGAAGGTTTAATGTTTTTAATTTTAACCATACGTCTTTACATAAAGTTATTTTTTAACAAATGAAAATAGTTATTAGATGCTTTATTGGCGGAAGTGACGACCTTTCTAACATGTAAATAATCTAAGTGTTCAATAACTTCTGTTTTTTTACACATAACATGTAAATCTCTAAGTGTTCAATAACTTCTGTTTTTTTTTTACACATAACATGTAAATCTCTAAGTGTTCCATAACTTCTGTTTTTTTATACATAACGTGTAAATCTCTAAGTATGTTACGCGTTGATAGATCTTTATTCATTAACAGTCGCAAATCTTCATCACTTACGATGCCAAGTTTACTAGTAATCACGTGCTCAATGACAGGATAAATATAAGGAGATGCGTTGCATTCGTATTTAGAAGATAATATGTTGTGTAATTTCTCAGTAGTTATATTATCTAACACTGTATTATAATTCAATATGCTACTGCCAATGGCCCTTTCGCAAGATTAATACTATTATCCAATAATTGAATATTTAATTTTACGAGTGTTATTTAATTAACATGTGTATACAAGTGTCTCTGACTACAGATTTTGACTTAGTTATGATTTATTTATTTACGGACTTGTAATTATGTTTAGAAAAACTATTTTTCTTCTTTTTTAACACTACATTTCGCTAGGTTTACCTAGAGTCATCAGGTGGTAAGTTTTAAACAGATTCACACAATAGTTCAAACTGTTTGTTCTTAAGTACAAAGCTATTCCAACCAGGGGTATCGATTTTTTTAGTATAAACCTTCAGGCTTACCGCTGAGTCACGGAGAGACGGATTCAAACTGTCAAGTGTTTTATTATAAAAATGATATTAAATCATTACAAACTAATGTAATACAAATCAACAGTAGCTAAGTACGAAAAACAAAAATTAGAATAAATATGTACGTGTATTTGCATATTTATTAATGTCTGGATTTTCTTTTTTCGATGAAAAAGCTTCCTTAATTGTTATACAATTTATATTGTTTTCTTTGTCAATTATTTCAACACCTGAAAAATCAAAAGGCTGATTATATGTTTAATCATGTGCTCAAATACATGAGAAGGGGTTTAAAATGTTCTTTCAGTCTTTTTGAAAGTTTTCGGTTAGTTTCTGCGATGTAAGAACTATCACAGCTTTTACATTTAATTAGATACGCTGACCCTGAAAGCCTAGCATATTCTGATGATTAGGACACTGGAATCGCAATCTGTGGATCGCGGGTTAGAATCCCATCACCAAACATACTTGCCCTTTCAGCTGTGGGGGCGTTACAATGTGACAGTCAATCCCACTATTCGTTTGAAAAGAGTAGCTCCAGATTTGGTTGTGGATGGTGTTGACTAGCTGCCTTCCCTCTAGCCTGTCAATTCAAAATTAGGAGCGGTTAGTACATATAGCTCTCCAGTAACTTTGCGCGAAATTCAAAAACAATCAAACACTGACTCCGATGTGTCACTGTCAACAAATTTTCTTAACAGAAGCTAATATTTTTATTTTATCTTTTTCCGCTGGTAGTAAAAACGTTTTAAACTGAAATCCGTATCACAATCTTTAACACTTTTTGACTACCTTTTCTGGCTAGTATGTGAAAGATTAAGGATTCACAATAATAAACAATAAAAAGATGGACTTTCTAAGTTCATAATGATTATCTCTTCGACCTCTAATTCAGTTTTTAAGAACGATAAAGTTTTGTTTACCACTTTGGAAGAATATTTATTTTGTGATAAAAGTTGAGATTTTCACACATTTTTCTCGTGAGAAACGCCTGTTGATGGGAACAAACATTTTATTTGCATGAAAAACAGTTTTTATGATCCCGTTCTTTTTTTTTAAGATCATGAAAATAATTCAAATGAAGTTAAAGTACTAAGTGTGTTTCCTGTGAAACCCACAGGAGCTGTGGAAATCATTCTCTTTTTTTTTATCCTTAAAACATCAACAAATGAATGTTTATCATCAACTTCATTTTCGTCTTTGAACTTAATGTTGGAGTGGATTGCATTCAAACTTGAAAGAAAACTGTCAATACAATTTGAATTTTTATAAACCAAAGAAATGACATCCACATAAGGAATCCAGAAAATTGGAGGAAGTATGGAAGTCGGAATAACAATTTATTCTATCTTGATTATAAATATATATAGGCTAAAACATGCAAATCTGGATTTCTCATACTTAGACCTTCGAGTTAATCACCTGTAAATAGAATACTTTTAGGAGTTGCTGAAACATGAACGATTTTTTTGATAACAGAAACATTTTAACAAGGTCTGATAACATTTCAATTCACAGTTAAACACTTCAACAACTGACATATGAAAGAAGAAGTTTTTACATCAGAACTAACCATAGAATAGTCAAATATCGTAATCGTTCAATTTTTTTTTTTTTTTTTGTCAAAAGCTTCTGAATTTTTTAAATAAAAAAAGCCCTTGTGACATAAGGGGGCAAATACCAAGCTAAGAGTTTCCAATATTATAATTGTAAGCCTTATGAATATAAACAGCGGAACGAAACGGAGCATTCATCTTATTGATGTTCGTTAGGCCATGAATTTGAATGGATGAGAATCTGAAGAATTAAATAATTCCTTCAAAAGTATGTAATTTACGAAGATTTGATTTGATCCCAGCAGGATGGGCAAGTATTTCCCAATACGGATCTGATACATGATTTATAAATTTCAATAATATTTTCAGATGAAATGTCCCTGCTGTTGGCAGTTAAACTTCTTAAACTTCCAAACTGTGTTTCTGGTGTTACAAATGACAAAGTCAAGTACAAATACAGAGGGAATTTTAATTTACCACCGAAATTCAGACAAAAACCTTATACAGCTGTATACCAGGATCCAATGCTGCATACGACTAATTCAAATAATATATATAGTGGAGTAAAAAGAACTCATATCAATTTGCTTAAGTATCTGTGCCACCCCTTGAGATGGGTCAAAGTGATATGAGTTTTTAGCTGTTTCTAGTTTTATCTGAATAAAAAGGAGTAGTAGATGTTTACGACTTTTCGAAATTCTGTTAACAGCAATGCCACTATAAGAACTTATGAGTGAAAGAAAAGAAGAATGTTATAATATGCCAACCACACTATATCTGCTCTATCCAATTCTGACGAGGCCTTTCAACTAATAACAGTGCTCATTAGGCCGACTGTGATACGTCAGACATAGCAGTGATCAATATGCTATTTCTATATGGAAGGTATACGCTCGAAATATAAAGAGAAAAATTACCTGAATGTGTATTTTAAACTAGCTACAAAATGGTGAAATTTATGACTATTTCAGTAATTACACATAAAACGTACTGTAAAATAAATTAATGTAGACTGAATATAAACCGAAAAATTTAGTTCAACTATTCAGACTAACCTTATCTGATTTTACGGATCATTGTGAAATGCATCCGAATGTTTAAATGAATAAATAAATATATCTATATATACAATTCCTTCGATATAACTTTTCTTTAAAGTTTATTCTTAGCTATTTGCCTACGGCAGAAATTGCTGTAGACGCTATATAATGTGTTATCCCTACCTTCTGGTCATAGCCGTAAGTCTGAGGGCTTATAACGCTATATAATGTGTTATCCCTACCTTCTGGTCATAGCCGTAAGTCTGAGGGCTTATAACGCTAAAAACTGAAGTACGATTACCCGTGTGGACAAAGCGCAGATAGCTCATTGTGTAGCTTTGCACTAAAACAAAACACACCCACCCACACACTATATCCCTTTGTGTCATGACCGCCGTGGGGGCGTTATAATGTACGATCAATCCCACTATTCGTTGGTAAAAGAGTGGCCCAAGAGTTGGCGGTGGATGGTGATGACTAGCTGCCTTCCTTCTAGTCTTTCACTGCTAAATTATGGACGGCTAGCGCAGATAGCCCTCGTGTAGCTTTGCGCGAAATTCCAAACAAACAAACCAAACTATTATGACCTGGAAAATGGCACTGAGATTTCAAAGGTGATAGACGTTCAGGGCGGTAAGCATACCCACCCAAAGTACCCGTTACAAGAAGAAAGCACACCGACAGCTATGTCCAAAACCTCCGGTGGCGGGGATCTATGTCAACGCCCAGCACGAGCAGAGCTTCAGGTAAGGCTGGTTTGGTTGCAGATTCAATAATAGAAAACACAAAACACTTCACCCCATAACTTAACCAACTAGTAGCCCTTGCAAAAAGGACTACAAACTAAGGATGAGAGCAAAAAAAAACTTAAAAAGACAACAAAATCAAACTCACGAGTAGAGAACTCAGACATGGAAGTCATAGAAACAAGCAGAAACACCAAAATCACATGAACACAAAGAAGAATACAACCAGACACTAAATCAAACACAACATAAAGAAGCACACGAAAACGCACATGAACAAGAAGTGAAACAAAAAGAAGCAAACTTAGTTGAATGTAAACCATCACAAGAAACACCACAAATACACGAAGATACAAATGATTTCATTCTGGTAACACCTAAGAAACTAAGAAAACTGACACCACAAAACACGATCACTCAAACAAATGTAACATAAAAAACACAACAGTACTCAATAATAATATAAGGAATTCCAGCGCAGTATAGGGAACACAACTTGTGGCTGAAATCAAAAGATGTAAGCCGAAAGTAAACATAACAGCAATCAAGCGTCTAGCCTAGGGCGGGGTCCTAGTTAAAGGGTCATAGGCCGCTGACCTCAACCGTCTATTGAAAGAATGGCGCAAGACGCATTTAAACCCGGAAACATCGCAGTACACATACCAGAAAACAAACCGAACCCAAAATATTTTGTTATAAAATATATACACACCAGCATTACAAACGAAGACATTGAAACTGAACTCACAAATAAACACATACAATTCACTAAAGTTGAACGAATTTTTTTTCCAACAGAACACAGAGATTTACAAACCTAGTTAGAATATACGTACACGAAACACAAGATATCCAGAGTGTAATATCAAATGGTATTATTTTCTGGTATCGAAGAATCCATAAAAACGCCAGCGGTAGTTGTAACCCAGTGTTACAGCTGCCAAAGCTTTGGACATGTGGTAGCCGCTTTTACCCTACGCAGCGTGGGAGAGAACACAGAAACACTGATTGCCCACGCATAAATCCGCAATCATACTGCTGTAACTGCCAACAGCAACATACGGCAAACTATAAAGGATGGCTAAAATATAAGAACATAAAAACATGCATAATTAACATTCAAAATAATACAAACACACAAGCACAAAATTATGAAGCAAACAGCACACAAAGAAAAACACCATTGCTACCAACACCAAAACCTCAAGAGAGTACCAACACAAACCAACAGTCTACTACACAAACATTCGCACAGGCAGTAAAAACCCACACCCAAACTGAAAATATCTCAAACAAAAGAAGAACACAAAACCCACTAACGCTCAAACACAGCAAAATGAAATAGCAAAGAAAATAACAGAGGCAGTCACTAACTAATTCTACGAATTCCTGGCAAAAACCCAAAACCAAGATGACAGTACCACATTAATCATTAAAATAGCCTTGAACAATTACTGCCAATACAACCATACATTGCACAACTATTCATATTATCAAAAACATTACAGAACACAAATACCCAGCAAACATCAGTCCACACACATGTATAACCTGATAACATAAAACGAACATAGCCCTGAAAAGGAAAGTTGTAATAGAATCTCAAACACTCAAACCAGCTAACCAATAAAAGCTCGAGCCAAGAAGATAAGATAACAACAATACAGCAGGGAGGAAGGGGTCTATTAGAACCTGACCATCCCAGGTCGTAAAGACCTAAATTCCGATGATTGATCCAGCAGCACCATGGCCTCTAGAGTCATCTATGACAAATGAATCAAAATGCCCCTTTATATGTTTTATATTTTAAAAAGTTTTCCAATATATAAAATTAGTAGCATGCGATAACTATTTTGTCATTCCTATTTAAACGAATAATTAGATCTTTGCTTGAAAGCAGAAGTTTGAGATTTGTTTAGTTACGTTTTATTATGCATTTTCTTGTGTTGTTTTCATGTGAAAGGTATTTCTTAAAAACAAAAACAAAAAAATACGAAAAAGTAAATAAATTCCAAGAAACAATTAAAGACAAAATGAACATCATTAGAACGTTTGCTTTTTATTTTTAGCTGTAACAGTTATAGTGTTTGTAAAACTAGGAAAATTATGGTTGTTTTATTTATTTACTTGTTGCCCCCCAGTGACACAGCGGTATGTCTGCAGACTTACAACGCTAGAAACCGAGTTTCGATACCCGTGGTGGGCAGAGCACAGATAGCCCATTGTTAGCGTTGTGCATCTCTAAGCTTGGTATAACGATTATATGTTTTTTATGATGCCAAATAATCTGTTTTTACATGAGTATATATTTTTAACTATCTTATCTTCAAGAAATAATTTGTAATTAAATGCATTAATAGGCTAACATGTGCTTGCCACAATAGTCCTAAAAAAGATCTCTCCAGCTTAACCGTTAGTCTATATATAGAACTGGAATGAAAATAAAACGTGCACCGTTAGCGGTAGAAACGTCCTCGCTCTTCCAGAGTTTCCAAAACTATTGCAAAACCTGCGCAAAAATTAGTATATTTTAATTGAAGTGATTTCAAATTTTAAACCATGCGAAAAAGACTATTTTTAAAACATAACTATTAAAACATAATTAGACAGGTTATGTATAACCCCAAACAGATTTTCTGCAAACATAGGAAATGCATGATTTTTTCTTTTAAGCTAGTGAATTTCTTCAACTGAATTAAGTTACAATTTGATAAGCTCTTCTAATTTCGAGTCTAAATGTTTCGTTTCAAATAAACATAATCCAAGTAACTTATCTTTTATTATTTCTTTGTTGAAACATATTCTGGAGCCAAATGATACTCTTTACTTAATCTTAGGTTAACACAAAAAATTTTGGACACAACGATCTACATTTTTTTAGAAATTCTATGTGCAACAATTTTTTTGAATTTTTAAATATGCTTTTTCAACGTTTTTATATATATACTTTTCCACGGCTGAACATGATCTACAAGAGCTAAAATCGATCTCACAAGATGGCCAAGCACATGACAGATCTCACAGGATGCCCAATCACATGACAAAATTCTAGGAATTAGTGACATTAGCCACCTCATAAAATAGTTCAGACAAAATCATGCTGACTACAACACATCTCTCCCACGAGATTGCTTATTTTGTATACTCTGCACCAGTCGCAGGGATCGATCCACGAATTTTAGCATTATAATCCTTCTACCTTAACACTGAGCTATCAGAGATCTACCATGAGATAGTTCACACCATCTATGACTGGGTCTTGCTCTAGAAAGTAACGTCAAAGGCTAATTTTACATCTGAATTAGGATGTATAATTTCCGCTTAATTAGAACTCTAGGTAAATTTAATTTCAATCTCCTAGTTACAGGAGATTGAAATATATACATTCAACATATTATATGCGTACGGAATTGAAAGCATTTCATTTACTTGGCTTTTGATCTTACTTAATTTATATGGTTTCAAAGTGTTTTGTTGCTTCAATGAATGTACCAACTCGATGGACTGAGAGGTTGTATTTTAAGATGTGCAGAATCTGGGACCTTCTTATTAAACTTAGTTAAATTGAGGCGCTAGTGTTTGTCTAGAAGCCGCTTGATTAAGTATTGACGTGATAAAAATTCTTTAAAGGTTTACGTAGCTAAGTTTAATAAACCGTTTTAAAGAGAAAAGACCTATATCAGGTTTCCCAAAGATAAGAGCACAATTTCAGCTTAGTATCTTCATGATTTCCTAAGAGAGCAGTAGTATAATTGTATCTCCTGTTTTACTAAAGAAGCAATATTTAATTGAGTTCAAACATTAGACCAAAGCTGTCATCTGATGGTTCTAACCTATTAGTCTGCAATATCATTCATGTCTTGGTTAAACTAACTAACTACAATGTTAAAATTTTTAGCAGAATTCTACA